TGTTGCCATTTGTATGGTTAGTGAGAGCTCGAAAGTCCCTACAAGACCAACGCATTGTAATTAGACAATTGAAAACTGACCGTTGAAAGCAGATTCTTTTATTTCGTTGTTATCGCTTTTATAGCGTGGATCGCAATTATTTCCGAATGCGTAATTAAGTCACCCGTTGGTATGGCAGTGGAAAACACAATCAATTAGTAGAACTGTGTCCTATTTTTATGAATTTCTAATTCCAACCGATTTTTGACTGTCTATGAGATTAACAACTTGACAAATATGCATGGTTTTCGAACTTAGTTAGCTAATTTACATGAAATTACTCATGAAATAATTGGAAACTGCTAAGGATCGTTAGAACACGTTAAATATGAAACATCTAACGCGTTAAACTAGTTCTCTAACGCGTAAATTTAGAAGTCAACGAGTATGAAGGCTGTTTTCATGGTTTTTTTTTGAAACTACGTTCGGTCGCGTTAAGTTTGGGAATTAAATCCATTTAAATGCGTTATATATAGAATATTTGATTATTTTCATATTTAATGCCTTCTAGTACTCGTCAACGTCTTCATGGGTGTATATTATTGCCAACAGGATACTGTTCATTTTATTCGTGTTTTTATTTATTTTTATAGTAGATCTATTAGAATCCCTAGTGGCAGCATTAGAAAAAAGTTAATGGGAAATCATGTTCGATTAAATGATAGATGTGATTGTGTTTTTTTAGCAAATCTTAATAGAATATATAATAGTCTACTATATATACATGCCTATTTTTCTTTTTTTCATGTTTTTATGAAAATCACTGTAATTCCTATACTTTCTAGGATTTGATGGAAGATGCATTAATGTCCTACGATTTTTTCAATGGTACCATGGAAAATAAATTATTCAAACCCGTCTTTAATATAACATCACCAGATCCAAACCGAATATATCGGCATCCGATACTTTATGCGGTAGCAATTTATGCTGCAAGTTTAGTTATCATTGGCACAATTGGTACGCAGTAACTCTTATTTATTTTAAAAGTTGATTATAATTTATTTCATTTCAGGTAATCTTTTAACAATATTTATTCTAATTCGTCCGAATTTACGATGTCATACAACCATGCGTTATTTAATCGCGGCAGCCGTTTCCGATTTATGTACACTTTATAGTTGGAATTTAAATTTATTCTACAAACATATGATTAATCCATATCAAAATGATATGGAAGATTTATCACTATGCACATGTCGTCTAATATCATTTTTAGCTTTTACATCGTTACAATTGTCATCATGGTATTTAATGATAGTTAGTTTTGATCGTGCAATGAATATTTATTTTTTATTTTGGAAAAAAGGTCTTGGAAAACCTCACAATGCAACATATATCATTTTTGTTGTGGCCATTTGTATTATTCTATTAAATTCTCATCTTTTATTTCTTAATGGATTTGTTGATCGAACTTGTACACCATATGGTAAACAAACTTGTATTGTGTGTTATAAACGATTAATAGATTATCGATACGTCTTTCCTAAATGGGAAAAAGTTCATTTAATTTTGTACAATTTAATTCCATTTACGATAATGAGTATGTGTAATGTTTTTATTATTTATCGAACATTGACAGCCACAAAACGATTATCAAAACGACAAACAAATAGTCATAACGCCAGTACAAAAAATCGTATTCGAAAACAACGACAATTAACAACAATGTTAATTTTAGTCACATTTTTGTTCATTATCTTAACTATGCCTGCAATGATCTACCATGTATTTCTACGACATTTATTTGAAAAGAAAAAACCATTGAAATATATTCTTCAGGGCATACTATTATGTATTCAATTTACAAGTCATGCTATTAACTTTTTTGTTTATTGTTTTACGGCATCTAATTTTCGAGATGAAATGCGTAAATTATTTCGTTTACATCGAAAAGGACAACAACACAAACATGCACTAATGGATGAATAAAAATAATTATTCTCAATTTATAAAACTAACTTTTAAAAATAATTTTGAATTATAAGTAACTGGATCGAGTCTCTAGTTTGAGAGATACAAGACAAATACTGTTAATATTATATTTAAATAACTAAAATCAACAACTCAAAAATGACACTATCAATTGTGTTCTTTCTATTATGTCAATTGTTTGTTGTATATATTATTGAAAAAGTGAACAATGTATGGGTTGATCTATCGAGTAAAATGGATTTTTTAACATATAATCGCTGTATAATTCGCATGTTCGTTGTAAAAAACAAATTAACATTTTCGTATTTTAGATCAGTTAGTGCAATGAATTTTAATCCCATTATTGTTTGAAAACAGTATAATTTATATTGATCTGTTTTGATTTCTTTAATATCTGATGAACTCGTTTCTCATGGTAATTGACAAGCAATGACGTTATTAAATTAAATGTTCAAGCTAATATTAATTTTTCATTATCATTTAAATGACTACGACCATCTCGTACGAGATCATGCAGGTTCATGGGAAAAAATTTCGAGAAATATGTGTTCGACCCACAGCTTAACGTACTATACGTCGTTCAATGCAATTTCTCACACTGATTTCGAAAATGCCATTAGTTTTTATATGAGATCTTGGTAGGATGAGAAAATTAGATTTCACCTAAAAAACCAAACCCATACCGAAGTCCCTGAAAGATGGCGCTGTTCAGCGCTAATATAATAGATGTATGGTATACAGAGGAACAGTTTGACGAAGTTTAAGTCAGTCTTAAGCTTTGCAAACTCTTGCGCACGCATTATACCAAAGACATATTTATGGAAAATACGTTAGTTTGAGGAAGGCATTGAGTCCAAATAGATTTCGCAAATCGGTAGCTGAAAGTGTCTAAATTCAGAATCTGTATCGTTTTTATGTTTATTTTCATTCAATTCTAAAAGAAAACTTTTAACTTGTTGTCCCGATCTCTTTGGGCTAATTTTTCGCTACGTATTTTCCCCCAAGTTTCTTAGCACCTGGAACAAAAACTTTTATGCTATTAAATAGCTCATATAATGATGTATACTCTCCACCATTTGTATTTGAAAAACGAGCACTCGATTTTTTTTGCTAAATGTCCGTCTGGATGCTCACTGCCGGAGTTGGTAGTTGAATTACCTACCGCTAGATTTTCTTTTTATTTGGTTTTCGTGAAGAAGTAATCGCTTGTCTGGTCATCGTTAGAAAATTGAGTTTCGGAAATTTCGTAGAAAGAAATGAGCATGAGAGTAAGTTACCACATCAAATTTCATTTTGAATTTCGGAATATTTACGCTTGTGTTGATCAAGTGTTAGTTGTTCTTTACACAAAAGTATTCTAGAAAGGAAGATTTTATGAGACGTGCAGCTTGACTATGTTTAACTACAATCTAATGATTGTTTTTTAATTTGTTATCTAAATAATCTTTTATTAATAATTTCTTTCTACGAAATTTCCGCAGTTCGACTATGTAATGGTCAATAATACCAGAGGGAAAGTTTAAGAGGTTTAAGATCCAAAACCGAAATTTCTACGAAATTATCTTTCAGAATAAAAGAATAACTAGCAGAGAAAAAAGTAGAATCATATTTTTACTGCTTATTTTCATTTTAATATACATTTCCAGCCAAACCATAATACTACTATGATGTTAGTATTATCATTCAAATTTCAGACATGACAAACATTTTTTTATAGCTTTTCTCACATTATCTGTTCCATAAACAAATAAATAACTGCACTTTACCAACTAAGAAATGTATTTAGACTAACAAGGTGGAATGACAGTATGGACTTAATTCCAGACATGTACCCTGCTACCATGTAATAGCCAACACCAGAGAAAGAGTTTAAGTGGTTTAAGATCTGAAACCGAAATTTCTACGAAATATCCGCAATTCTAGAAAATCAATCAGTCAGTATTAATTGCCAATTCTTGCAACAATAGATAAGTTTTCTTCCAATTTTTGAACTAAATCTTGATCTTTATTCAATTTTTAACAATCCTATGTAAAATAAAATCTAATCTCATTTACTTCCTGTTTTATGTGACGCCTCTGCTAAAAGCCCTAAATGTCAGATGCAAAATCTCGATTTACAAAAAACAGTTGACATTTAGAAAGCGTTTGAGAAAACCACTAAAAAAGAACTTTGAAAATTTTTAAGGAGATCAGGTCGATAGAATTTTTCACGGGCTATTCTTTCCTGTATTTGGTTTCAGTAAAAGGTAATTAGTTTTGACCACCAGTGAAAAGATTTTCTTGATATGTTTTAGTAAAATTTTACCGGAACATTTTTAGAGATGTTTGGTTTTTGAATTTTTTCCCAATAAAGTTTTGCGAGAAATAATTTTATTTGATGCACAGTTTGTAGTTCAGACTTTGCTCTTTCAAACAAAAAAAGAAAAGCGAAATCTCCAGAATAGTGGGAACACGAAGAAACAGCGCTCGACATTTTGTGCAAAACTTATGCATAGGCCGTTAAATCAATTTTTTACTTTGTCTGATTACAAATTCTAATGAAATTACCTACCATTTAGAATTTTTTGAACTTCCTATAGCAATATCGTGTAACTGAAACAAATCCTGTTTATTTAGTGAAAATAAGAGATAAAAAAAAGAAAGCAAAGTGTTTTTTTTTTCTAGCGGTTGTCTCTCCGAGATAATACCACTATTTAAACATTATCATAGATGACAGAGCGTTTTGAAAATACGTGAGACTCAGAATAGTTTCTTCTCCTCTTCTCTTCAAATGTTTTACTGGAGCGTTCGACCAGAATAAAAGCCTGTCTTATTTTGAACATGAATAAAACAACAAATAAATCAATAAAAAAATAGAAATAATCTGTCAAAATGTTGTCAAATCTGTTTAGTATATAATAGTGTAACCATTACAGATAGATTTCATTCAAATATTTTTGAACAAAACTTTATTGTTGACATTTAGGTTTGAACAACGAAATATTTATTATACCAATCTGTTGTCTTAGAAACAAACAAAGCACGAAACATGAATTATCAAACAATAACAAAGACACCGAAAAAAAACAACAATGACACAACACTATCTGATTATGTAACGTAAATTAACGTAATTATTATGTTATATGTTGTTAACCAGTTACTAAGTCTTTTTATTATCATTGTTAGACTAGTAGATATGAGTGAGTAAAAGAACGAATTAAAAAACAAATTATTTTTCATAAAAAAAAATAATGAATTAAAAGCTAAAACAATTAATATTCGAAAATAAATAAACTTTTGAAAATTGGTGGAAATACAATACAGCAGGAAATTTTTTAAAATTAGAAAACGATTTTACTATCCTGTTTTTCTAGAGGTAAAATAAGACAAAGTACAAGAAAATAAAAGCAACAGATCTATATAAAAGAGAAAACTTATTTTGAACTTATAACGGAATATTTTGATTTCGTTGCCCAGGATGTCCTTGATTATTCGTTAGCAGTAGGGTACTGTTTTCTATAGAATTTTGTTGTTCTTTCTGTCGCTCGATATGAACGGGTGGTTGCTGTTGTTGTGAGAGTATTTGTTCTGGTACCTTGGGTTGTTGCTGATGCAAAGGTAAAGGTAAAGCCTGAAATGGAATATATTCAATATCAATCGGATGTTTGATTATCTTCAATATTACAATCTCAACGAAAAATTCCTAAACGCTAAGTGATACTTTTTCCGAATCTTGTACGAATAGCTTACCGTTGCCTGATCTATCATATGTTCCGAAAACTGTTGAAATTCTTGATCTGAATAAACAGGTTTATCTTCAATCGAGTCCCATCCTTGATCATTTTTAGCACCAGTACCATTCATACCGGTCATAAATTCTTCATAGGAAAGCATGCGATCACTATTTTTATCAAACTGAAAATCACACAGAAGATAAAGGTAAATCAAATGAAAACTTTTCATTTCTCGAGAGTTAGCCGACAATCAGACATCTCATACCTCTTTCATGACGTGTTCTCTCATTCGATCTAGTTCTTCTTGTTTTTCAACTGGATCACCATCAGTCGTATTATTGTGGATTTTCTCGGCCTAACAATAAAAAAGTAAACTTATAAAAGCAGATAAATTATGATTAGAATTTTTTATATATACCTCTTTCAGCATTAATGCTTCAATCTCATCCTCGTCTAAAAATCCATCAGTATTCGTATCTAAGTAAAAAACATTGAACATTTGTAAATTATCATCAGTGTACGATTATCAATCTTACCATGTAAACTAAAAAATGTTTTGGCATTAAATTGTTCAGGTTCAAGATGATCAACATCTTCCCATACTTCTTCCATTTGATCTGCACTACCCTATAGACAAAAAGGAAATTTACACAATGTAATGAGTATGGAGTCAGTTTCTGAAAAAGTAACCAAAGATCGAACTAAGGGACTCTATATCTGTCTATTGTTTAACAAGTCTCTTACCGGATGATTGACTTTTTGATGTTTTTTCTTTTTTTCAAGACTTTCCTTATATTGAATTTCTAGTCTTCGTCGTTCTTCTGGAGTAAGACGCTAAAAAGAAAACTATTCTGTATGCGGATCCATTATTTTTGCTGTAATATTCTTTACATACAGCTAATTTTTGTCGTCGTTCATATTCTTTTTGTAACTCATATTCTTTAAATTCTTTTTCTCGTTTTCTATCTAAATTATCTAAATCTTGTGATGCTCGACGTATCAATTTTTCCAAATCCAGAGAACCAAATGTTTCCGAATTACGATGATCAACATGTTGTGGCAATAAATTTCTAACATGATCAGCCGGACTACCTAGAAAAACAATAAAGTTATAATAAACAAAAATTGGAAAACTACAATAAAGTAAATTAACCTACGATACAAAAGTAATTGGATAGAGTTTTTGTCCATTTTTCTTCTGATTAAAAACGTCTTAGAAAAATCAAAAAGAGTTATTTAAAATTTACATTTAGAAAGTTATTTAACTATGTATTCGACGATTTTCTATCAATTTTCAGCTCGGAGCAGTGAGAGAATCCTTCAAACATACAAAAATTCAGTTTGGAAAGAAAAAAAGATGGTATTTCCCGGAAAGTGTAAATTTCCTGTACCGACTGCTAAAGTTATTTTGCCTGCGTAAGATTTTAGAGAGAACAATTCTCTGAAAAATGAGATGTTAAAATAGAATACACGACAAAAAGTTTAGACGTTATCATCGTTTTCCTGAACGCCACTTTCTACGTAAAACGTGATTTTTCAAAAAACACTTTTAATAAACTGGTGAATTTGATCAGTTTTTGCAGTGCAAAAATAATTCAGGAAAGCCTGCTCTGTAACCTGATATGCAAATTAAAGTTTAATCTTTCAGTTTGAAGCCGTTGCCGTCAAAATAAAAATATACAAGATTTTTTTCTTTCTAAACTAAATTTTTGTATGTTTGAAGGATTCACCTACTGTTTCGAGATCAAAAGTGATAGAAAATTTTCGAATACATAGTTAAAAATCTTTCTAAATGTAAATTTTAAATAACTCATTTTGATTTTTCTAAGACATTCATAATCAGACGAAAAACGGACAAAAACTCTGTCCAATTACTTTTGAATCGTACATTAATAGCGTTTGCATGTTTCATCTGTTAGAAATAATAAAAACTCTTTTTAACAATTCCAAGCTACTTAGGGGTATCCAAAAGTAGTGGCAACGACACTTTAATACCCTATATTAGGCTAATAGAAACTTTCTTTATACATGGACTGATAGAGGAAAAAAAGCTGTATCTTTCTATACTATCTGATCATAGTTCAAATAATATCATAATAATAAAATTTCGATACGATCTGTTTTGTTCGCATGTGTTACGGTTACATC